GAGGAGTAACTAAACATCTGACACAATGAGCAAGAAAGTGCAGGAGGGACAGGTGAAGTAGCCATGGTGCTAACGAGTCGGCTACGAGTCGGCTACGAGCTAAGCTAGCGAAACAGTACAGAGACAGTGAGTGAATACTTTGGCTATAAATTAGGTAGTGAGTACACAGAAAGTGTGCTTCGGATGGGGTGGCTGTAGCTCAGGTGTTAGAGCAGGTCATCTACTGATCGGAAGGTTGGTGGTTCGATCCCTGGCTTCCCCAGTCTGCATGCCAAATATCCTTTGGCAAGATACTAACCCCAAATTGCTCTCCGATGCATCCATCGGAGTATGAATGTGTGTGTGAATGTTACTTAAAAAGCACTTAGAAAAATGTGCTTGTGCGAATGGGTGTGAATGGGGTGAATGTACAAGTTGTGTACAGCGCTTTGAGTGCTCAGAAAGAGTAGAAAAGCGCTATATAAGAACCAGTCCAGTCCATGAAGCACGTGAAGATTATACTATGAAAAAAAAATGTATTTAAAAGTTGTTAATTAAACTGCTAAGCAAATAAGCTACTCAGAAACACCACTGTGTTTGAGCAGGAACAGGAAGTGATACTATACCACAGAGCGAGCGAACACCAAGTGACAGCACCACCGACAGGATCAAAAGAAAACACATATCACCATGGAGAAATACTGCAGTGTTTCTGCTTAATTCTACAATCAATCAATCAATCTACCTACAATCTTTTTCATCACAGCTCCTGTTGTTTGGGAACAACGCTGCTTTCTGCTCTCTTAAATTTAGTTTAGTCCAAAGTTCATGTTTCTGTTTTCATCAGAGCCAGCTGGGGCTTGAAATGTTGTACTCTTTCCAGGTTTGTCATAAGTTATATGGTACAAGTAATGACAAAAATATCTCAAAGACAGTTACGTTGACTGAGTTGGTGCTTTTTCTGCACTTAGCACTTCACAGACAGTTAGATATACTAAAGGTGGTGTTGTGTTTAACAGAAGCTGACATTTCTTTCTAGCAACTTGAGGAGAACATTATGAGATTTGTGAAGACCGAGCTGAAGAGGTTCCAGGAGGTCCTAAATCCAGATTACAGAGACGGTGGACTTGATCAGAGTGAAGATGAGGGCCTGGGTTGTACAGCTGAAGAGCAGAAGAGCAGCAGACAGTCATTTCTAAAGATCACACAGCACTTCCTGAGGAGAATGAAGCAGGAGGAGCTGGCCGACTGTCTACAGACCAGTAAGATAATTTAAAATAAGATAAGAAATACACCAGGATTACCCATAAAAGTTTGTTCGGTGACCTCCAGCTGTGGTGGAGAGGAGGTCCAGTTTGCAATCTATTATAGAGCCAGCCTTCATGGTCAGTTTATTTAATCTGCTGGTGTCACCATCTTCCACTGGTGATAGTGTGATTTTCTTTGCTAAAGGAACTAGGCGTGTTGTTTTCACTAACACTGGAGTCTCACTATGCTTTTGACTCCAGCTGTAAATGTGACAGCTGGGCAGCACAAGTCCTCAGGACCTTAATACTGACATCACAGTCCAGCAGGGGATGTTTCCCAGTGTGACAAAGGGATAAGCAGTTGTAATGCTCTCCACTTGTCCCAGATGTGTTGACTTTTTTTGCATATTATGCACCTTATTCTGTCTCTATATTTATTTGCTATGATTCGGTATTTGTCAAAGTAACTTTGCGGCACTGACTATCCTGGGTTTGTTTGTGTACGCATTCTGTGGCCGGCAAAACAAACTTTCTGCAAATTAAGGCAAATACTCAGTTACATGTTTCTTTATATTCTATTATGTTGCAGATTAAGTCATTTTTTCATACTTTGTCCTCTATGTTTTCAGTCTTTATGTAGGTCAGGTGTGTGGAAAGGCCCCCCTAGCATTTCCTGATTTTAAAGTGCTGATGATGTCAGACATGACATCAACAGGTAGAAACAAGGGGGGGGGATCCTGCTGCCATACAAATGCTTCCTTTTGTTTCTTTCTAGGTCTGCAGGGATTTTTTGAATTTGTTTTTTTTTTTTTTTTTTTGTAAGTAGAGCTGTTTTGTTGTGTAAATGTTCTAATCAGTAGTGTGAGGAGCTTTTTGTCATTTTTAGTCATCTGTGTAGAGTTTTAGGTCCCTCAGCTCAAGTGAGTGGCACTGGCTGGACTAACTAACTGAAGGGAAATTGATGGCCCTATATATAGTCAGTCTCTGCCAGATTCAGATGAGGGAGGAGAGGTGAGCTGTGTTATTGCATTCATGTACTTTTGAGTTTTGGTAATTAAGTTAATTAAGTTTCACGTATGATGGAGTTCAATGTAAATTCTCGAAATGTCTGCTGAGTCTGCTTCCTTACCACCTTCCTTGACGTTCAAGTCTGACTACATCACACTCAGATGTCAGGATTCCCTTGATGACAGAAGACTAGTAGTGAGAGGTAGTGAGAATGTGTGAAAGGTGTTGTGTGGTGGAGAAGGCCTCAGAAATAAAAGTCGAGAAATAAACCTGTTGAAATTATTTATCTTTTTGTTGTCTACAGGCTGCCCACTCATTGTCTGTCACCTTAATCCTAGTGATTTTTTTTATTCCACTCTGCTCCATAGTAATCATAGTTTTTGTATGTTTCTTTAGGAACCCATGCTGCAGAGTGCCAACGTAAACTCAAAGTTTATCTACAGAAAAACATCCAGTGCGTGTTTGAAGGGATCACTAAAGCAGGAAACCCAAATTTTTGTAATCAGATCTACACAGAGTTCTACATCCTAGAGGGAGGGACTTCAGAGGTCAATGATGAACATGAGGCCAGACAGATTGAAACAGCATCCAGGAAACCAGACAGACCAGAAGCAACAATCAGACAAGAAGACATTTTTAAAGCCTCACCTGGAAGAGACGAACCAATCAGAACAGTGCTGACAAAGGGAGTGGCTGGCATTGGGAAAACAGTCCAAACACAGAAGTTCACTCTGGACTGGGCTGAAGACAAATCCAACCAGGACATCCAGTTCATGTTTCCTTTTACTTTCAGAGAGTTGAATGTGCTGAAAGAGAAAAAGTTCAGCTTGGTGGAACTTGTTCATCACTTCTTTACTGAAACCAAAGAAGCAGGAATCTGCAGCTTTGAAGACTTCCAGGTTGTGTTCATCTTTGATGGTCTGGATGAGTGTCGACTTCCTCTGGACTTCCACAACACTACAATTTTGACTGATGTTACAGAGTCCACCTCAGTGGATGTGCTGCTGATAAACCTCATCAGGGGGAAACTGCTTCCTTCTGCTTGCCTCTGGATAACCACACGACCTGTAGCAGTCAATCAGATCCCTTCTGACTGTGTTGACATGGTAACAGAGGTCAGAGGATTCACTGACCCACAGAAGGAGGAGTACTTTAAGCAGAGATTCAGAGATGAGGAAAAATCCAGCATGATCATCTCCCACATAAAGACATCACGAAGCCTCCACATCATGTGCCACATTCCAGTCTTCTGCTGGATCACTGCTACAGTTCTTGAGGATGTGCTGAAAACCAGAGAGGGAGGACAGCTGCCCAAGACCCTGACTGAGATGTACATCCACTTCCTGGTGGTTCAGTCCAAAGTGAAGAAGGTCAAGTATGATGGAGGAGCTAAGACAAATCAACCCTGGAGTCTAGAGAGCAGGAAGCTGATCAAGTCTCTGGGAAAACTGGCTTTTGATCAGCTGCAGAAAGGGAACCTGATCTTCTATGAATCAGACCTGATAGAGTGTGGCATCAATATCACAGCAGCCTCAGTGTACTCAGGAGTGTTCACACAGATCTTTAAAGAGGAGAGAGGACTGTACCAGGACAAGGTGTTCTGCTTCATCCATCTGAGTGTTCAGGAGTTTCTAGCTGCTCTATATGTCCATCTGACCTTCATCGACTCTGGAGTTGATCTGTTAGAAGAAGAACAAACATCATCTCTGCTGTCTAAAGTAAGACCCAAATCTAAACTCAAACATCTCCATGAGAGTGCTGTGGACAAAGCCCTAAAGAGTCCAAAAGGTCACCTGGACTTGATCCTGCGCTTCCTCCTGGGTCTTTCACTGCAGACCAATCAGAGTCTCTTACAAGGCCTGCTGACACAGACAGGAAGTAGCTCAGAGACCAATCAGGAAACAGTCCAGTACATCAAGAAGAAACTCCGCAAGAAACTGTCTGCAGAGAAAAGCATTAATCTGTTCCACTGTCTCAATGAGCTGAATGATCGTTCTCTGGTGGAGGAGATCCAACAGTCCCTGATTTCAGGAAGTCTCTCCAAAGATGAGCTGTCTCCCTCTCAGTGGTCAGCTCTGGTCTTCATCTTACTGTCATCAGAAGAAGATCAGGATGTGTTTGACTCAAAGAAATACTCAGTTACTGAGGAGGCTCTTCTGAGGCTGCTGCCAGTGGTGAAAACTAATAAATTTCAGCACGTTGATAGAAGTCTGGAGTATCCGAAACAACTAAAGAGGTAGAAAATGGAAATATACATTAACATTTTTAAATTATACTCTAAACCAATTGCTGTTTTCATTAATGATACAGCATGGTAACATACTATGCTAATTCTTTTTGTTAGCAAGTGAAAAAAAAACATTGAACTCAAATGTATTTTCAAAGGTTATTTTTTGGCTTTCACATTTTATAGGATGAAACTATTGAGACCAACATTTTTAGGCACTTTTGTTTGTTTTTTTAATCAAAGTCAGATTCTTTTGCACTTCTTAGATTCTTAAAACACTTTTGTGGTTTACAATTTGACATCACCAACAAAAGTAACTTGTTCGCCCCATCAGTAAAATAGCAATTTGATCTAAAACGGTGTCTCATATCAGGAAATTTGAATTCTTTGCATTCATGACTAATGTATTGTGCTTGATAATTTGTATGTCGCTGTCCCTATACTTATCTACAGAGTGGACCACAGCACAGAGCAGGTGTTAAGGTTTGCACTGCAAAAATGTAAGTTTGCACTTTTTATTCATCTCTTATTAAATTCAAATGCCTAAATCACTTAAGATGCAAGTGAGGAGCTGATTAGATAATTCAGCTTACTCTCAAAGGTTTTCATTCTGCTGGCACTCTGAAGGGGCACCAATTGTGGAACTGATCTTCTGTTTGTGCTTGACTGTGCAAGAATTAAGATCTATAAACTACTATTGTAATTTCTTTGCTATTACATTTTACTTTCTCTGTTAGACTTCTGCGAACTTGAACTGGACCCAAATACAGCGCACAGAAACCTCAAACTGTCTGACAACAACAGGAGGGTGACACATGTGAGAGCGGTGCAGCCATATCCTGATCATCCAGGCAGATTTGACTACTGGAATCAGCTTCTCTGCAAAAATGAGCTTACAGGTCGCTGTTACTGGGAGATCGAGTGGAGAGGAGTGATTGATGTCGCAGTGACTTACGGACAAATTCGAAGGAGAGGAGACAGCGATGACTGCAAGCTTGGATCCAGCAATCAGTCTTGGAGTCTGAACTGTTGTGAAGATGGTTACCATGCTTGTCACAACAACTTTAGGAAGGACGTAGATTTGGCCCTACCCTCCTCCGTCTCTAACAGAGTAGCAGTGTATGTGGACTGTCCTGCAGGCACTCTGTCCTTCTACAGAGTCTCCTCTGACAAACTCGTCCACCTCCACACCTTCAACACCACATTCACCGAACCTCTTTATCCTGGTTTTGAAGTGTGGTATGGGTCTTCAGTTTCTCTGTGTTCTGTGTAGGAGGGAGCATTTCCGCATGAGTGGAAACATGTTCCCACTGCTGACTGACTGCAGCTGCTTAGACCAGCTAAGAAGAGAATCATGTAGAGATATTTGACTGTTCAAATTTTATTTTAAAGGGCAGAGATGTTTTAATGTACGAAATTATCAACATAGAAAATCAGTGAATGGAACGGCATTGAAATTTGATGATGTCATGTCAATGCATGTGTGTGCGTGTGTATGTTGATAATAATGCATAATGCATATGTTCATAAATGATAAAGTGTCATCACGTGGCCCAGGCATTAAGGACGGTCAAACTGTATTTTTTCTGTTGGCAGAATAACCAGTCATAGTAACCGAAGTCAAGTGTCATACATGCCTTACAGTCTCTTATCACATCAAATAATGGTACTGCAGTATCGGCAGCACATTGTTTTTCATAGTATTCTCCTCCTACAGAGATTTTGGTGTAACTATAACATGTTATAACAGGTTCTTCCAGAAATGTTTTTATAGGGTTTCTGATAATCTGAGATCAAATGATGACTGAATGTCTGAGCATTCCCTTTTTTTCTTTTCCATTAAATTTTATATTAAATGTTTATTGTTGTCATGTCTGTGTGTAGGCAGGCAGGAAGAGAGGACCCAAAATGCAGGACTCACTGAGGCAGAAGTAACTCAAAACACACAGCTTTATTGCTGGTAAGAAGCAGAACAGAAAAACACTAACTAAACTGGAAGAACAGAATAACTAGGCAGGTAGGCTGGCTGGCAAACGGAACACACAGAGGAAGCGAGGGTGAACAGACGTTAACGACGCGACACCGAGTAGGGGAAGACACAGACACTAAATACAAGAGGTGAACGGAGCGGAGAGGAAACAGCTAGGAGACACGGCTGATGCTGATTACACTGACGAGACAGGGAGAGCACAAAGCTGAACGCACTGACATAGGACACAGACCTACAAGATAAAACAGGAAGTACACCACAGACAGAGACACAGACTCGTAAACAGGCATAATGACGTCATGGACAGACAGAGGGACATACGGGCAGAGAAGAATAAGCACAGGCAACCTAAACCAAACATGAGGGCAAGATAACAAAACCTAAACCAGAAATAATCATCATCGTCATCATCATCAACATCATCATCATCGGATAACTAAAGAATCAGAATATAATTATAATCAAAACAGTATCACCAGAGAATAAGAACTAATCCATAATGCAAAAATAAACCAAAACATAAGAAACTCAAAATGCTGGGTCGAACCGACCCAGGATCGTGACAATTGTAATTACTATCTTTTTTGTGTGTCTGTCTGTCATACATAGTTATTGGTAAAGCCACTGTGCACAGTATATATATGCAAATTTATTTCAGTTTTACTAAATGCTGAGATGCGTTCAAATACTGAGTGTCTTTGAGATTTTATTTCTGTTTTGAAATGATTTAGGATTCAGTACGGTCATGTCAGAGGTCAGGTTTTGTGAAAATCTTGTGAGCGTGACAACTCACAAACAGTGTTGGGAAGGTTACTTTTAAAATGTATTCCACTACAGATTACAGAATACATGCCCCAAAATGTATTTTGTAATGTATTCTGTTACGTTACTCTGTGAGAGTAACGTACTCTGAATGCTTTGGATTACTTAATATATTATCAAGTTTTTTATAACTACATGAATGTACTATTGCCATGTAATTTATTACTATTACTGAAGGTTACTCACCATACCAATAGCAACTAGATTTGTAAATCTTAATATAAAATGAGTAACAGTAGGGTGGACATTAGGTAAGGCTGCACTTTTTGCAGCGATCTCGTATAGAAAACTATTTTGCGCATATATAAAACAGGTTCGTGGCTCTGAGCCATAGTAAAGGGACCCAAAGTCTGGGTCAACTTTGCTAGTGAGACACAGAGAGAGGCGTTGAAAGGCTGCTCCAACGGAACTTATTGTTTCAGAGGAAAACAAGAACACAGTGTAAAGTCGAGTCTTAATAGATTACTTACAACTGGGCTCGTCAGGCACTCTTTTTGGCTGCAGTGGTTATTATTATATTTACATGCTTCCAGCTCCTGTTTCTGCTCAGTGACAACTCGTACTTTTCGACTCTCCTTTTTCTCCCTCCCTCGCTCACAGACACATAACGGGTATGGTAGTCCCTTCTCCCTACAGCACGGACTAGACTGCCCATGAGGCTACATTATTTAGGGCTATGGGGTATCCGGGAGACGTTTTCTCATGGACTCCGGCTCCCAGAAGAGTCTCCTTCCCCCAGATCCGCTGCCGACAGGCTAGCAGCGAACTGCGGGCCGCAGCTCATTGCAGCTAATCGCTCTCAATTCAATTCAATTCAATTCAATTCAATTCAATTCAATTCAATTCAATTTTATTTATATAGCGCCAAATCACAACAAATGTCGCCTCAA